TCTCTCCCTCCCCCCTTTCCCTGTGTCTCTCCCTCCTCCCTCTATTCCCCTCTCCCCCCCCCCTTTACCTGGAGAAGTCAGGGGGCCGGCTGCGTTCCTGGCTGCAGCTGCCGGGTGGCAGCTTCCCAGGTCCGGCGGCACTCCTCTCACTGCTGTGGCTGATGGAGGAGGAGCATGTCTCTGTACCGGAACCGCGAGGGAGCATGGTACAGAGACACGCTCCTCCTCCATCAGCCACAGCAGTGCGAGGAGTGCCGCCGGACCGGGGAAGCTGCCACCCGGCACGGCGGCTCCAGCCAGGAACGCGGCCGGCCCCCAGGTGCCGCGGCCCACCGGGAAATTTCCCGGTATCCCGGTGGGCCAGTCCGGCCCTGCCTACATCACATGGTACCGACATGTCCTTTTAACTCTGCCAGATAATCTGAGCTATCGTTAGAAGTAGGGGGTATAACTATATTTTTCTCTTGTCCAAGAGTCCATACTTTCACAAAGTCTCTCTTCTTCTTTTAGTGTGAAGACCTCCGGTTATTTCGATCAACTTCACGTTTACATGGTTGACTTCATTTCGAGTTAAAGCCTCGGAAAATGTTCCAGTTTACTTGGTTGACTCTGCTACTGACCGGTATCACCAAGAAAGAGGAAGTGGGAGGAGTCTGATGACACTATATTGTTCCTGTAATGTGTTATGATTGGTTGAATTTTTCATACAACATTGTTAACTGTTTCTTTGCTGCTCGGAGTTACAGTAAAGAAAGATAAGCAAATATTCGCCTCCTGTCTTTAATAAAATTTAGATTATTCGTTCACTGAAAGCTAGAATAATCCCTAATTTTACAACGCCACAGGAGGCATTTATATTTTGCATATCTTTCTTTACTGATATCCATAGTAGCAAAGAAGAGTACATGGAAACAAAGAATTTATCAAAAACAAGCAACGTATATATGAGATTAAGCAGTCTCTTTCTTTGCTGCTCAATAGGCTAGGAATAGGTCAGAGTTTTTGGCTCTTCTTTGTTATGCTATTGTTGCTGATGTTTTGCATTACTTTAAGATTTAGTTCTGTACTTGATCATTGCTTTAGCTTTCTCCCCTGTTTCCCCTGTTCCTATACAGTGTTGTTTGAGGAGGTTTGTTCCTTTGTGGTCTTTTTAGTGCTTTTCCCTTTCTGTACTGGGCTAGATCACTGGTCAGCCTATTGTAGCCTGTTCTTACAGCCTCTGTCTGTTTTTCCAACTTGTCTTTAGTTAGTGTTTAATTAATGTTTTCTTATTCGGTGAGCCCCTTACCTACACCTTGTGTGTGGATTTTGGGTATATGCTGCATGATTGTGGTTCACATCATAGTATACCTTAACGGGCTGCCCTTCTCTCACAGGCTTATTGTCTGTTCGGTGTGCCATTTAACCACCTTGTGCCACTACCGCAAGCCAGTCTATGATCAATGCGGCTGTTGCAGCTATGGTGGTCACCTAAACCTGCTAGATCTTCCCCAGATGCTCAGTGTATAGAGCCAAAAACTTTGCTGACTCTGGATCCTCTGCTGAAGGACGCTACCACCCCACCAAACGCCATTGGAAAGGTGAGGGCACTCAACCTTGGAAGTCCAATGGCAAGGCTCCAGCCAAGAAGCCCAGGTCACTGCACTTGCTCCTGAATATCTCCCTCAATCCTCAGATGATGATCAGCGGGATATGACATGGTCTCTCTCTATTGTGGACGAATGACAGGCTAGCCATTCCGCTTTGGATGAGGAGTAATGGGATACTGGCACTATGACTGAATCTGTCTTTGTCCTTGAGAAGTTTCTGGGTGAGCCCCAGTCTAATGTGGATGTCAGAGAGCAGGATGTAGCTCCACAAGATGACTCTGAAGTCCTTCTGAATCCACCACCCTTACTTGGTGCCAAATCACCTGGTCAAAATTATAAATCTGTGGCTCCAGAAGTCGCTGGAGAGGGATATTCGAAACCACTTGGGGCAGGTATGTCTGGGGCCAACTCTGCCAGATAAATCGCACAAATGCCTGAATTGATCTGCTCATGCTGACATTTATAGTGCACAGTGGGGGTGACGCTCATAAGGGTATTGAGAAGCGCTTTAAAGGAGCGCAGGATGAGCTCTTGGATACATTTTCAATCTCTCCCGCGTTATGTACCTGGCGGATGATGCCTTGTCCAGGGCTGATTTGTTTGACACCAATATGGTGTGTGAACAAGCTCACAGCATTTGTGAATGGTTGCAATGGTGTTTTTGCTTTGTGAGCAAAACCAACGTTGCCCTTTCTCCAGAATGGCGCAAAGCGACTTTGCTGCCCATAGAAAACAAAACTGACTGATCTTGACACTAAAGAGTTGGAAATTTAAAACATTTATAAAGGAGCTTCACAAACACATGACTGCCTATAACTAAGGCACAAATCTCAATGAGGAAGACTGCACCCCATTGATATATTTTTGGCTAGGCTGGTCAGCAGAGGGACCATGCAACCTATCCAACTCCAATCCTTCGACCGTGAAGTGGGTGGACGCCAAGGTTACCAATACCAGATGGATGCGGACAGAAGTCTCAGCTCCTGCAGATGTGCAAAGTTCTCCACAAGTCATCATCATAAACTCCCTCCTGTTTTTTACAGAACCGGGCAGACATTTCACTGGGCACTTGGATATGGCAGACTGTGCTGGGGTACGTAATAGAATTCACATCCACTTTTTGGAAGACAATGCCTGTCTGGTCAATGTGGAAGTTCACAAATTACACCAAAAAGGAGTCGTTCAGCTGGTCACGGTTTGTAGGGGTTTCTTTAGCAACCTCTTTCTAGTCAAGAATCTGGAGATTTTAGACCTGTGATTAGAGATTGAAAGACTTCATTGCTTACATGGTATACCATCTGTGATGGAATTCCAGTAAAATACAAGTTTAGCAGGCCAAGATTGCCACAAGGCATATGTAGGTACATGTGTTTGTAGTATCAGTTAGTTAGTTACACGTAGCTAAGATACTGTCATCACTGTACTGAGCATGTGCAGGAATGCAGGAACTGGAATTAAGCGTTCCTCTCCTTTGTTTCAGATGAGCCATGTGGTTAGACCGGATGGATGAGTTTAGACTCTA